GGGGTGATGGACGTGTATGATATTTCGGCAGCGAGACATAGGGTAAAGCTTGAGGGCCATTTGGGCGACGTTACGTGCTGCCAGTTCTTCCCTTCGGGACAGGTGGTTTTAAGCGGTGCCACGGATATGCGCGTCAAAGTGTGGTCGGCGAGCGACGGGTCTAACCCCGTTACGCTGGTTGGACACACAGCCGCAATCACCGATACTGCCATTGTTGGCAAGGGCAGGAACGTGCTGTCGGCAGCCAAGGATGGCACTGTTAGGCTGTGGCACTGTGGCTCATCATCCCTGGTGCACACCTTTGCGCTGTCGAAGCTTCCTATCAACAAGATCGATGTCATATCTACTCTGCAGGAGGCCAGTTCGCTGGAAGAAGACCCGGATGCCCGCGAGTTTGAGACTCAGGGCAAAGTCCTTGTTGCTTGCTGCGAAGATGGTCGCGCAGCGCTTGTCGATTTGGAGTCGAAAGAGACGATTGCAGAGTTTGGATCTACCGGTGGCCAGCCGGTACGTGCTGCAGCCTACGACGTGCCAAACTGTCGGATCTACGTTGGGCTATCGGACGGAACCGTGCAGGTGTGGTCCACAAATGCTCCTAACGACCAGCCCGTCTACTCGTTCAAGCGCAACGAGTCTGCCGTATCCGCAATCCGCCTTGTCAATCCCAGCACAGGAACTGTCCCGCTAGCATGCATCGGTACCGAAGATGGCCAGTTGTTCCTGACATCACTTGATCCGTTCTCCAGTCATGCGGCAGATAACGTCAATGTTGTCGAGGAGCTTGTCGGCTTCGATGTCGACCCCATCAGTCAGATCCGCGTGGTGCAGTCGGCCACCCAGGGTGCAATCAGGCAGAGCGTCTGGGCGGCAGGCCGTGACAACAAAGTGTATGAGTTTTAATTTACAAAAAAAGTATGAATTTATTTACTGAGCACTGTAAAGAAGCTTGTTGATGTCGAATTCGACATATGTGTCCTTGATGTTGGCTCGCGAGATGCGATCGGTTGCCGGCGAGTTCTCCAGAGGGCCGCTGAGATCCGCCGACATGTCTGCCAGCTCCTTCTCAAACATGGCCACGTAGTCGACCATCGGCTCTGGAGACAGTTTTGTTCTTTTACTCTCCGAAACACTGCTTTCGTTGTCCGAGTCGTCGATGATTACCCGGCGTTTGGCCAATTGTCTGGTGGTCGACTGGGGAGTTGCATCTGCAGCTAGAGCCTTTGGTGTCGCCAGCGGTGGGGTTGATGTCTTTGGGATATCTCCGGCAGTGTCTGTTTTGCCTGCCGCAATCCTGGCAGCCTCAGCGGCTTCAGCCTGCTTGCGACGCTTGCGTGCGATGATCTGCTCAAACGAAAGCATCTTTGGCACTGACGACTCGTTGCCGCTGCTATCGCCAGTGTCGCTTAAAAGAGCGTTTTCCAGGGCCTCCTTTCTCTTTTTCTTTTCCTGGATTGCGCCAAACACCGATGTTTGAGGTGCATCGGGAGAAGGCGTGTTAGTTGAAGCCACTGACAAAGGTGGCGAAAGATTGGAATCTGAATCAGCTTGCAGCTCGATGGACTGGGCCCTGGGTGTCGGTTCAGCGATTGGTTGCACTACCAATGCGAGGGTATCGTCTTTAGACTCATCGGGCTTTTGCGACGGTGTGACTGCGGATGGCATTAGCTGTTGTGGCTCAGGTGTTGCTGATTTCGGTGGAACCTCAGATGTTGGATTTTCCGCAGCGCTCGTGTAAGATGGAAAGCTGGAAGCATAGCATACATTTGAGGAGGGCGAGTTTGACATTGAGCGATCTGCTAGTGCCACCGATGGCACGCTCTCTGTCTGAGAAGAGACAGCCGAAGATGGTGCTTTCATCTGTGTTGGTTCTGTCTGCAAACTAGCAAGTGAGGGCTGCTCTACTCTGGGTACAGCCGACTGGGTAACCACATGGTTGCTCTGGACTGGCCGGGGACGGCGCTGATTTGCAACATGAGGTGCAGGCTTATTCTCTGAAATTCCAAGAATATCGTATATCGTTGGAATCGCGCTTGGCTTTGCTGAACCAGCTAAGATTGTAGGTTTAATACTATATGTACTAGCTGGCTTCTGAACCATTGGCTTCTGCACTGGTGGTCTCTGAACTGCTGGTTTTGGAACAACTGGTTTCGGGATCACTGGCTGCTCAGAAACGGGCGGTTTAGAAATAGGTGCTGCTGATGCTGCGGAAATCCTCTGAAAAGTTGCTGGCTCTGTAGCCTGCGTGGTATCAACATCCATGTCACCGTCCATATCGCTGCCACTGTACATCGATGCATCCGTCGACGCAGTTTGAAGTTTCGCAGGAAACGCCGACGCACCAGTACTTGCACCAAACGCGCTGCCACCACTCTTTCCTCCAAAAGCGCTGGTTTTGGCAAAAGCACCAGAAGCGCCAAATGCACTGCAAGCTCCGAATGCACTTGCTGCCGCTTTTTGGCCAAACACACTAATCGGTGCGCTGTTGGTCACATTTGATGAAATAGCTGCGGGAATCTTGTTGGCGCTAGCAGGCGTCCACTCCTTGTTTCCAAAGGTTTTTGCCGGAGGTCTCGCCGCTGGTTTCTGGCCAGCGGATGCAGATGAAGGTGTCCATTCTTTGTTGCCGAATGTCTGTGCTTGAGGGCGGGTTGCCGGCGTCTGGCTAGCTGAGGCTGGTGTCCACTCCTTGTTTCCGAATGTCTGTGCTGGAGGTCTCGCAGCACTCTGACCTGCAGAGGCTGGCGTCCACTCCTTGTTTCCAAATGTGCGCGCCTGTGGCCGTGGTTGTGCACCTGACCCGCCTGCCGGAGTCCATTCCATGTTCGGCCGCGGCCTCGCTTGCTGCGGCACAAACTCCTTTGCCCTCGCATTCAGCCGGTTGATACCTGGCCTGGGCGTCGGTCTGACGCTTGTGCCCGCAGCCGGCTGCTGGTTGTCCCGAGACTTGTGCATATAGAAACAGTCAGGCCGAGTACACACGCCGCCGTTTGCCTCATTTCGACAGGGTATTTGGCTAGGCTGCTTGCTGACTCTGGCTGCTGGGTCGGCTACATGCCGCTTGCCGCAGTCCTCCTCGGGACACTGGCCCGTTTGTTTGAAATGCGAACACACCTCCTGTGTACTTTTTGCGCCCTCGCTGTGGCGAAACTGACATTTGTCGCCTTTAGTACATGCGCTGTTAATAAAGAAATGACAGTCCAATTGAGACGACATAATTTAATATACAATTTTTGAATAAGCAAAGAATAAAGGCACGCCTTTTTGTCCAGGCGATAAAATGCCCCAAGCATATTAAAAAGCTTAAAACACACGTGACATCTGCCTGAAAGCGCGTGGGTATGCGGATTGATTCGAAACCGTAAATGTGGAGCGGCAAGATTTTAAGAAAACTCTAGTTTACATTGCTTCCTTTGGAAGCGAAAAGGCGGCATAGTAAGGTTTGGTGACTTAACTCACGATATTCATCTTATTTTGGACAATGTCAGCTAGATAAATTTTGGCGGATTTATTAGACGCGTGCTATTATCCAGTTTGCGTGTTTTTTGTCACCCGCCTTACACACCTCATCCAACAAATCAACATAAAAGTTTAGAAATTATCAACCCCGACTCAAATTTGCATTTAGAAAGATAAACAACTAAATAAATAAAGTCTGAATACGACTATAATGCGGTGGAAACAACCGCGGCAGCATCTACCGATCGAATATCTGTTATTTCGGCTCAAATTCAGTCAAGATCCATCCGGTTTGCGCTGTAGCCTCGCCGGTTGTCCCGACGGGCATGCCCATGATCCGGCGCGTAGTGCTGACGCGCGTACTGGTCACGAGTGCTGGGACCAGGGCCCATGTCAAACTGGGAGTTGACACCAGGTCCAAGGTTTGATCTAGCAGCAGCTCTATCCTCAACCACCGGCGAAGGAATCTGCGGTGCCTGGTCAGCGGGTATCAGCCTGACCGACAGTCTACGTCCATCTGCCACGGCATTATCGAACTTTGCTACCGCCTGCATCGCCGATGCCTTGGACGAAAATGTCAGCTCTGCATGGCCCGATGGCTTGCCGCTGCGGTCATAGAGAAGAGTGCATGCCTTGACAGCGCCAAACTGCTTAAAGCAGGATGTCACATCCCCGGCCGAAGCACCAGGGTCGAGGTTCGAAATAAAGATAGACGCAGGGCCAGCTTCGCCTTTGATCGAAATAGGCTTGCTCTTGTCTGCCTTTGCAGTCTTTGCAATCTTTTGTCTCAGTTCGATCTCTCTCTTCTTCTTGTCTGCCGCAGTCACAACAGCACGGCGACCAGCGGCCTCGCCGCGACCAGGCTTTCCGATACGCCCAGCCATTGACCCGCCCTTCTTCGATGCCAAACCGTTCTTTGAGGTCAATCCTGCTGTTCCTAGACGTGCCGCAAGTCTCTTCTTTGCTGAAGGACTAACAAGAGCCGTGACCTTTAGCTCCGCAGGCTTATTCTTCACACGCCGCTATTTCAGTTAACAATATACAACGACGCATTATGCTTGAAATGATATAATTAGTAACTAGCCATGCAACTACGTTATTTCTCGCCATAAGTTTTTTTTTAAAATTACACCACAAAAGAGATGCCCGTATTTAAACAGCACAACCCAGCGCAAAATACAATGACAAGATGTTACCTGCTCCAGTGAAATACTTACGGTTGGTTTGTTTTTGCCATCCTCGCTTCTTTTGGTAACCAGGGCCTTTGCCGCCTTGGCCTTTGACGCGTTCTTGGGCTTTGACTTTGCTGTCTTAGCCCGCTCGACGCGGCTCTCCTTTATGATCTGATCGAGGCTCTGGTCGAGACGGTTGTTTAGCTGCATGATTTAAAGGCTAATGACAATAATAAGTTTAAATAAAAAATGAAATTGCAAAAAAGAAAAAAAAACGTTGTGTTCGGGAATGGATGAAAAACATACGAATATTCGGATTTACGGTGTGTGTGGCCAAAATTATGGGGCAAGCAGTAATGAATTATGCAGCAAAACCGAACGCGGGATTCGAACCCGCAACCCCCAGATTTATCCGCATAGAAAATGCATAGAAGTCTGATGCGCTGTCCAATTGCGCCAGTCCGGCTAAAACCTCAAGCTAGCTTGAAATCTCTCAATTTTAGAGTCTTAAGATGCAACAGTACTCTACGGCACTTTTTTGTATAAAGCAAAATTTGAGTGTTTTTTAGTTTGTGTTTGTAGTATTTGAAAGGAAAAAGTAATACATTAATCATGTTGTCTGTTTAAACATGCTTTTAATGTGATGCAAAAACTTTAAAATTATTTGACAACTAACTCTATGACCAAAGTCAATCTACAATTTATATTTTAGGTAGAAAATGAGAAGTAGCATTTCACTTCATTATTATTTTAGGCGAAACCTTTTTTAATTAGGATAAGCATATAAATTATTAAGCCGCGGCTGTTAAAATAACTATGATTCAACGTTATATGCATTTTTGAATATAACAAATAGTGACACTAGTAATAACTAATAATTTTATCTGTAACTTTATTATAAAACATTTTTTCCTTCAAACCCGGCTTTCAGTTTTATAGACTCTATCCGGTGCATAAATACTACTCGAAAAAGCTTGATAAAAGTTGGAATGTACAAGCTTGTTATCAGGTTGAAATGTATATTCTCACTTAGACCGAGCATGTGCAATTACACAGTCTACTGCAGAAACTATTAAAAGCAATAGATATGTAGAAAAAAGTCGACATATACTACATTAATTCTGCAGGAAATATATACATTACCAACTCCGAAAAGCAACAAATTAAATATAAAAAATTACATATTCCAACAGCTGAGCTCAAAAGTTTGCAGACTGGGAACCAAGCATTTCTCAACACTATAGTGATTCTGGTTTACAGCGTCGGGTGACTTTCGGAAATACTTAAGGCTTTTGTTGTTTTCTGACGAGTTATAAGCATACCAGATGTTGTACAAGATATTTGCAACTGGTTGGCAAACTGTGTTGTCAACTACAAAGTAATTGTGTTAGCACAATATGTTTTAAAACAAATATGTATGAATGAAATTTCACAAAATTACACATCTTGATTATAATTTGTAATATTCGTATACGTTTTGGCACAGCCACTTTTATTAAAATCCGCAGCAATCCTTAAAAAAAAAGATGTCAAACCATTTCTATATAAACCCTCAGCCATTCGAATACAAAAATTTTTCTTGGCAACTCTTTTTCACCTTGTCTCTACTTTATACCTTTTTAAACCATGCATTCTTCTAATTCTATTGCCCAGATTCTTCCTCTACATATCGTTGAGTCTATTATTGACTACACTGGCGTGACTGAGAGCATTGATAATCGTTTTAAATACCAGGAACTATTGGCATTACTTCATAGCTGTCAGTCCTGGCGCTCAGTATTTCTTCGAAAAGTATGCAAAACTATATATTTTATCACTTACACATCACGTTTTCACAATTTTGGTTTTAGGTTTTATCCCGATAATTTTGTACCACTTACCCATGCAACAAGTCAGCATGTCAGAAGCCTTGCCGTATGCTCAAGCGGCTGGCGGTACATTATAGACGGTAGTCTACTTAAATGGATGCTTAATAACAATGTATCCAATGTGACGTTTTTATCAGCTAAAAATCTTGAAATATACGTTGATGATCTCAATTATATTTCAACCTTATCAGAAGAATCAACTATTGATGCAATTCAAAACATAATAGCATTTCTGCACCAGATCCAAAGCATGGTTCCCAATATAAAAAGCGTAGAAATTATATGGCATAATACTAACTTCTTGCGTATTGGTCAGAATCTTGAGGTTTTTATTACCGATTGTGTAATTAATATTATTCGTGGTTTACGAAGTTTTTGGTATCCTCGCAACAAGAGTCCGAATAGACTTACGCAGCCTGTACCAGGGTCTTTTTCGGGGCTGACCCACTTTGAATTTGATTATAACGATTATTCTGTTTGGTGTGCCGAGCTGGTTCGTTACAATGCTCGCACGCTGGAAAGTCTTAAAACATGTTATTTGTACAAAAGTGATTTCACGTCGTTACTCTACTGTAATAACTCTGATCCCGGCATTTACCCTTTTCTAAAGGTTCTTAAGCTTGATCATATCAACATATTGAATGATGAAGCAGAAGTACCGGATGTTATATTTATAGGTGATATCGATGGCATTGACCATTTTCCTATCCTCGAGTCATTCTATATTTCTGGCGATTTTCCATTTGTTGAAAATGTCTTTGCTCCAGGAAAAAATCTAACTCTTAAACATCTGTCCATTATCTTCGATGACGATATGCTTACGGAAAACAATAACTTTTTTCAAAAATATATGCCATATCTTTTCTATAATCTTAGTTCAATTACTGTTAGTGCCGACAACCAGACGACGCCGTTTGACGTAGATTTCTATACACACCAAATTGAATTTTTGCAATCATGTCTAATTTGCTCCACAAGTGTAACAAAGTTTGACTATATTTGGGTTATGGAAAACTGCCGATTCTTCCAAGAAGCGCAGAGCACCTCTATATTCCAAAGTTTGCACTTTTTAAATATTCAAAAAACTGTACTTTCCTTTTCTGATATTGTCATGTTATTGCAAAGTGCAATATTTTTGCAACATCTAGAATGTGGTATTAACAAGAAAGCACCAACTATTAAGGGCATTGAACCAAGCAAGCTTCCTAATTACATTTCAAGCATGCATCCGTTAAACAAACTAATTGCTATAATTAAACTTAATGCAAACCCACGAACACCGGTTAAGTATATTGCAAAGACTGCAGTTTTATTGTCCATTGGTTGTCCTCGTCTGACAAGTTTTAGTTGTGTAGAAGTTTCAAACAGTGAGCTTTGCAAAGAGATCGATAATATCTCAAAGACTAAGTGGTTCAGTGACTACACGGAACAGTGTCAATTTATTTTATCAAGAATTCTTTGTGAATAAACAATTTTAAATTAACAAAATGACAGCAATAATACTTGGAGAAATAAACTACTTTTTTACGACTTATGAATAAACTGGTAGCTAGACATATGTAACTATTAGATTATCCTAAAAATTATATTGTAAAACAAATTTCAAAGACAAATTTGTTTGTATGTTTTATAAAAGCTAACCAGTGCATGTATGCTATCCAGGTAGACTTGCTGGAAGTAAGCATATGCAATCAGAGAGACTACCGCTAAAATCATTTATAGCAATGTATAAATGTATAAATACCACATGGGCTAAGTTCATTTTGTTGGCAACATCTATATTGCGGACAGCAAAAAAACGGATTAAGTACAAATAAATCTAGATTCTACCAGCTGCGCTCAAGAGCTTGCTGACCAAGCATTTATCAATTTTTGACGCTGCAGCCATTCCAATCTATGAAAACACGCGTGTTTTGAAAATCAGCAAAGTTTTGTTGTTATCCAGCCTAATATAATTGCACTATATATTGTACAAGAAACTCTGTGGTTGTGGTATAAATATATAATATAAAATATAAGATGACTAAGAGAAGCCAAGAGTGATTCCGATGTGGAGCACTCTGGGCGCTCCTTTATATAGGCGTCTCCAGGGTGCTCCATTAATTCATGCGACAGTGGTGGTATTGAGATGATTGGTGCAATTCCAAAATATTCGACAGAGAAGATTTTATGCCTGGTACTGAAGAACCTTGAGACTCAATATTGCAAGTTGCGCACTGGAATATATATATATATATATATAATAGTTAACTGTACGGCAAAGTTAGCCTTGATATCACAATAAGTTTCAATGTATATTTGTTAAAATAAAAAAGTGCAGGACTCAACAATTAGGTTTTTTAACACTAATGTTGTAAACTTCTGACACAGTTTAACAAAAACTTCAACTTTTTAGGGGAGTCAGATTTGCAAACCTGTTTGTCGTCAAAATGGAATTAATGTTGAAGAATTCTTCGAAAAATGTAGGTTAACCATTTTTTTTGAAAATCCGCAGCAATCTGCAAAGTAGGATGCCATAACATTTCTATAAAGCTGCTAGCTATTTACCAAATCACAAAAACATCATCTCAACCTGTCAAATATTATTATCTAGTCTCTACTTTTTTCACCATGTTTTCTTCCAGCTCTATTGCCCAGCTTCTTCCACTCCATATCATTGAGTCTATTATTGACTACGCTCGTGCAACCCATGTAATCGATTACAAATTTGATAAGCTTGCAGCATTAGCGTTTCTTCATAGCTGTCAGTCCTGGCGCTCAGTATTTCTTAGAAGAGCATGTAGCTCCATTTCTTTTACCACTGATGTGTCAACGTCTCCAAAGTTTGTTTTTTGTGAATGTCCTGAAATTATCACACCGTTTAACAATGCAACAAGCCAGTATGTCAAACATCTCAGCATAAGCACAGACAATTGTAATCATATTATGGATGGTAGTCTACTCACATGGATGCTCGAGGCCGGTGTCTCCAATATTCTTTTTTTGTCAGCTAAGAATCTTACCATAAGCATCAACAACCTTAGGCAGGATTTAACCATTTCAGAAGAATCGACTATTGTTGCAATTCAGAACATAAAAGCATTTCTGCAGCAAATTCGTAGCATGGTTCCCAATATAAAAAGCGCTGAAATTAAATGGTATAATTATGTATTATCCAGTACTGGTCTGTGCCGTGGTTCACTCATTGACAACTCTGTTTTTAATATTCTTAGTGGCCTATGCATTTTTCGCTTTGCCGAGTTTGGAAGCCCGGATAGAGCTACACAGCTAGTATTTGAATATTTTTCGGGGCTAACTCACTTTGACTACTCATTTAATCGCTATCACATTTGGTTTGTTGAACTGGTTCGCTACAACGCTGGCACACTTGAAAGTCTTAAAACATGTCATTTGCGCAGAAGTAATTTCAAGTCGTTACTCTACAATAACAAATCAGAACCCATTAGTTACCCCTTTCTAAAGCTTCTCAAGCTTGAGTACATCCGCACACCCAATCTTGAAACAGAAGTACCAGATGTTTTAATTATAGGTGATATCGATAGCATTAACCATTTTCCTATCCTCGAGTCATTCTATATTTCGGGTGACTTTCCATTTG